CAGACACACAGACACACCAGCCCCCGCTGCAGACAGACACACAGACACACCAGCCCCCGCCGCAGACAGACACACAGACACACCAGCCCCCGCTGCAGACAGACACACAGACACACCAGCCACCGCTGCAGACAGACACACAGACACACCAGCCCCCGCTGCAGACAGACACACAGACACACCAGCCCCCGCTGCAGACAGACACACAGACACACCAGCCCCCAGAAGAAGCCACCCCATCCAGTGGTCAAAGTCTGCCAAGCACAGGCACCAACATGAGACTGGGCCTGACACCTTCAAGACTTTCCTACACCAGAACGACGACTTAAAATCACAATTGACAACCAAAAAAATCCTCCTTTTGCCCTGCTCAGATGTGTGGGACGGCAGTTTGGTCCTCGGCTGCCTTCTTGCAGGTGAGGAACAGCAGAACCATCACAGGCTGGCCCAGCTGGGCGGGCACTGCAGGGCTGCACATGGTGCCAAGGATGCGGAGCTGGGCTCACCCAACTGAGCCCTTCCTGTCCCAGGAACAGACATCAGAGGGACGGCACATCCAGGGGGACTGGCAGGCCTGTCTAGCTGGATCCCAAGGGTCAGAAAACAAGTCTGCAGCATACACCCTTCTGACTTGGCACACCTGCCCCAGCACCCCAAGCAAGGTAACGCAATACAGACTTCACAGAACACATGCTAGAAAGAAAACAGAAGTCAGACACTAACAGATCACCCCCCCAAAAATGTAAGTACTGGGTAACAAGTATTAATACACCAAAGCAGTGTTTTTCTTTCAGTGCTACTTCACCATACAGCCTTGCATGTGTGCACAGTAGAGGAACTGGGAAAACCATTCCAAAGCCCTGATTGCTCACAATAAAAATTTAAAACGCTCAAGGGCTACACAAGCCTATGCAACCTCTTCCACTATTTAACTCAGCTGAACCAGAACCCAGATGAGAGGTTATCAGCATGTTAACAAAAAGAGAAGATAATCCTGGGATAGCCTGGGAGTATAGCTGTGGTGTTCACCCTACCATTAGCGTTATTTGGCCATTAAAATCTGACAATTCAATGAAGTAATTAGAAAAATAAATAATTTTAGACACTTTAATACCCATTACTCCCTGGGGGCCTGTATTTAAAATTGCTAAAAATAAAAGTCATGCCATCCCCCAGGGTTAAGCCTATTTCAACCTACTTATGTACATGATCAATACCTGTGGTGATGAATAACACAAGCTGTACCACTTTCACTATGGTTCCTCAACTACTATGGCTGTAGCACAAGAAACATGCAGACCAAAACAAAGTTAGGATTATATTAATCAGAAATTAGTGCTTTGGTTGGAAAGTCTAACTATAAACTACACTTCTGGCTCTTCTGACCTCGCCTCCCCCCCTCACCCCCCCCTTTTTTTTTTTCTTTCCCAACCAGGAATTTCAGGCCTGACATATGGAGTGCTGAACACTTAAACTAGTTACAGATCAAGAGCATATTACTAAACACTGCAGAATCTCTCTTCCTAATATTTTTCAGCCCTTTAATGAAAGGTTTTAGGTTTGATAATTTAATTTTTTTTCAAGTTATATTTTTTAGTGTGGAAAGAAGCATGTTGCAATATTTGCTTCTATATTTATTTTGGGGCAAGATGAATAGAGTAAACAGCCCCTGAACTTTACCCATCATTTTCCATGCCACTGGAGCCCAACCTAACAGATGAAGAACATTAAGAAACAAGGAGCCTGCAACTTGTTACAAACAAATGCTATCAGAAAACACTACACCAGGCTTCAAGAACAGTTGCGTACAGAGAGGAACCAGCCTCTTCTGCTTCCTCAGAAAACCACCTTCTTCTTCTGCTTCCATTTTCTTTTAAACTCTACCAGTCAAAAGACAATTAAAACCTCAAGACAGTCAGGACTTCTTCCTTGGAGGGAGAAACAGGCGCTAAACCAGCTTCCTCCACCTGAGGGGATGCCACACTATAAAAACAAAGAGTAGGGAAGAGGAATTTAAAACACTGCTCGAAGCAGTTATACCAGCACAAGATGTGCACGTAGGATGGGTTCAGGTTTGCTTTGTTCCTTTCAGGCCAGCTCCATCACACACAGAAGCCAAGGACACAAACCCCACATTATTGTCCTCCCTGCAGCTGTAGCAGCACAGCTTGCACTGGGTAGTGTGTTCTCCCCAAAGCACCCCCTGTGCCATACAGGAACATTCATGATTGGCAACTCATTACTTTTAATTCAAGAAAGGTTCCATTATTCTCAAGGCCTGAAATTGTAGGCCCTGCAAGGTCTACTCATAGTTGTGGTGAGGGGCAGACCACCACCAACCCTTCTCATCAGGTTGGAAGTGAAAACCTTAAAACCAGGCCTGAATACCCAGAGGTAACGCATCTTTCAATTTTTACTTTTTTTCTGACCTCATCCTTTTTATTTTTATTTTTTTTTTCTTTTCCCCAACCTCGAGAATTCCAGGCCTCACGTATGGAGTGCTGAGCATTTAAACATACCCAGAACAAATTACTAAATAACATAGAATATTTTTTCCCTGATATTTTTCATCTCTTTAATGAAAAATTAAACTTAAAACTTGTTTTGCTATGGCAAAGGTTTTTTTCTCCCCTGCAGGGCTATTTTGCTACGTATTTCAGTCCTGACAGAGCATTCTATGGATTCCAGACAGCTGGCAATTTTGTCTCAGGGGGAAAAAAAACCCACAGGTTTTGAAAAATAATTATTAAAAAAGAGGAAAACTGTACAAGTACCAAGCATGACAGGGCCCTTTAGGAAGATATTCAGGTATCCAGAGACGATTACATTTTTTTTAAGCGTGTATGGTTGATGAAGTTTGAAGATTACATATTCAAATAAGGCTTAAACTCTTACACACTGAGCACTAATATAATGATCCAGATTTACACTGGCAATCTCCCATTGGTGGTTACAGGAACAAAGGTCAGAACCACAGCAATTTAAGGTTAGCTACTTATTTACCTAAACCAGTTTGATATCCTGGCTGTAAATGCTGAAAAATTGGGAGAGAGGTTTACCTAGAATCCAACAGAATTATGAAAAGCACAAAGCCAACACGTTTAAGGAGAGATCCGAACACACTACGCCGAAAAGAAACCCCCCCCACCCTGTGTGCAGTTTCCCCTCAGAGAAGTGTTGATCCACACGAACTGCAAACCCCACGCTATATCGAGTTAATGGTCAGCACTATTAAATTATTCATAACCTAGGCATTTCCAAGGAACATCAGCCGAGCTCAGCCCGTGCCGGCATTTCTTTAACACGCTCTGCAGGACTGGGGAAGATCTGCAGCGTCACAGCAGCTCCTTCACCTCCATCAGTCACTTATCCCTCTGCACTGCTCCCATGCACCCGCTTCAAACCTACACCTTCTACGGTTCTGCACATAGCACACGAACAGGCGGGCACATTCCTTAACCCGACACATGCTCCGGACACCAGCTGCTAAAAACAACCCGCAGCATCTCAAAAAAAAACCCCAACAACCCAACAGAACAGGTGAAGGAATAAAATACCCTTATCCTTCCAACCGCTCGGCTGACTGTCCATCTCTCTTCCCAGGCTGTCCCCTCCAGCTGCGGTGATCAGTCACACATAGCAGGCCGGCTGCGGGAGAAGAGCTGCCCCGCGCAGGGTGGGGACCATGGGCTCCCGCAGCCTCCGCAGCCTCCAACCTTGTGTTCACCTTGCAACTATCACATATGGAAGCCTGAAACATTATTAGTAGCTATAATTTGTGACAGGCTTATCTCTGAAGAACATTACATGAAGTCCAAAAATGTGACTCCCTATTGTCTACAGGACAAAGAGTTATACCTTTCACTGAGGCAAGAGATGGAAGTGGCTATTAAATAGCCATGTTTCAAGGTTTTATAAAACTAATGTAAAAGATTCAAAGCAGGTAAATTTTTTTAATGTTTATAGAATTTGTTCAGGTCTTTAAAATGGAAGGGACAATTTAATCGATGGCATGTTAATACAAATCAGCAATTTTCAACCCTTCTTCCTGAAAAATGAGATATTCTTTAATAATTGACTGAATTCTCCAGCAGCCGCCACCTCTGATACATTGAAGGTTATTGTCAAAAGATGACCAGAATACAGAGGCACTAAATATTTCATCTTAATGATAATCTATGCTGCAAAAGGTTTGAACTTTATATTGAGCTTTGAATTGACTTTTGATAAAAGACCTACTGGATTCTTTTTTTTTTTTTTTCCTGTTTTCAACAAACGTCTGACTGTCTCGGAGACCCACAGAGGCAGCTTTGTGAAGCATCTCTCTCCCTTCAAACAGCCTGAAGGAAAACACGAGGGGACCCTTTCTGTGCCGGCAGCACAAGGCTCCTGAGGAACACAAGGCGGCTTTTTTAGTCCCTCTGGACTGCTCAGCCATGTTTAATCATCTTAGCAGCGCTCTGCGAAGAACAGTTCTCTCGCCCCCTACCTAATTCCTACGACCAAACACCTTTCCTTTTTATTTTTTAAATTCTACATCAGCACCCTGTCTTGCCAGCTGCAAGACCTGACAATTAAATGCTCCCTCCCTTCAAATAAAAACAAGCACGGGAACGCTGACACTACTAACATATAGGAAGTAACATACAGGCAATATTGTGCAACGTGAGAAGAGCATAAATTAGAAACTACAGATCTGGAAGGGAAAAGAAAAAAAAGCTTTGAGAACTATTTTCTCATTCTGTGCTCCATCCCTGCTGAAAAAAACATCACGACTACCCTTCTAGTCTGGAGTCTCTTCTCAAGTAACCGGGGCTGACAATAAAATGCTAGAAACTCCCCCAACATTGCTTCAAAACCTTCTAAAAATTAGATGCACCATTTTTCAAAGGACTAGGAAAGGACATTTGCACACTTCCACAAAAATATTGCAGGCTGCTGGGATGGCGATTCTTATCCAGTCCTTAAATAGTCAGCTGTATTCTTCATTAAAACAGACAAATTCACATGGAGAAAAATTACCATACAGTTACCTGAAAGCCCTGTTCATTGCTTCAACTGCTACATAAATTTAAGGCCTCCTTTGACAGCAAAGCCATTATAGATTTTTAGCTTACACAAAAACGTGCATTTCATTCACACAATTTCAACGGGAAAATCAGAACATATCACAGGAGGGAAAAGTGGAAATGGAAAGCATATATTCAAGCATTACAGCACAAGAACATCCGAAAAGTTGTATTCCATTAAAAAAATAAAGTACAAAACATCTGAAAAACTGCTTCAGTCCTTCAGCTGAAATTCTTAAGAGTAACTGGAAACCACCAAAATCTGTGATTGTCCCCCCACATTTGTTTGGATGACTGCATTGTCACTCAATTAGTTAAAAAAACAATGCTCTCAGAAATTTCTTTCTACTAATTGTCAAATACCTTAAAAATACAGTTTAAAGCCTCTTCATTTAGTGCATTTATGCAACACATTCCTAAACAGACGCTTTGCAGTCGCCACACCTGCAGCCACAGCACACCAGCAGCAGCCAGAACATGGACACACAGGCCTGCCCTCCCATCTCAAGTGAGCCACCAACCCTCTCTCCGCAGGAGCTCCTCCCTGCCCTCAAGGATTCTCCTCCTTGCATACTCAATGCTCACTCTTGCCACCCTGTGCAAATGACACCTAAAATGAAATCTCTATCCCTCTGCACTTACATCTCTTATTTCAGGCAAGAGACATCTGTGTAACCCTATTCTAGACATAAACTAAGTACCAGCACTGTCAAACTTGTGTAAGCTTTACAGTTTCATCAGGAACACGGCAGACCTGTTTCCACACCACCATTTAAACAAAAACTATCCAACTGGCTAGTCACAAGATGGCATTACCAAGTCACCCAGACAACTAAAACACATGCAATCAATTCTAAACATGTTCTTCTGCTGAATGCACCTACCTTCCAAGGGACTGCACTCCTACTCACCAGACAGACATTAAATCACCCTGAGCACAAGGACTGACAACACCACGTTTGCTCTGAAGAGCATTCCTGACTTTCCAGAAGAGAGGATTCCGGATGACTAACCAATTCTGATCTCATATTACACCTCATTCAATGCTGGCCATGTATCTGTGCTTCTGGGGACGTTGGTAACTTACTACAAATGCTCATTTTCTCTTTAATTCTGCCACTCTGCAAGTAATGGCCCAAAGGCCCCATGCTGTTAGTGGCCTTGGCTATACCAGCCTTTGCTTCTCATGAAACACAACAGATCTATGTCTTTCCTTCACAAAAAATTTCACTCAAGGTTTTGGATTTTTTTCCCTTGTTTCTCCCCCTACTCCCCAAATTCTCCACCTGAAACAGAAGCCTCTCTTTATTATTATTTACCTGCTAGCATAAAAGATGACCTGAGCAGTCAGAAAATGTAAGAATACAATCAGATGAAATTAAAACTAAATTTTATGTCAAATTATATTTTACAAATAAACTGCTCCTGAAATAAACTCCAGAGGCATTCCAAAGTTATTTTTCCCCCAGTGAAAAGTAACAAACCAAATCAAACCCTTCCCGTCTGCCAAACAGCTCTATTTAACTAACTACCAATATGGAAATGAACAAAATTACTACACTGCTCGTGTACAGCAGCATTTCTAACTTCTTTTAAGCTTCACTTAACTGTAATGACCTGATTTGCTGTCACGGGTTCACAAGAAGTGCTTTATTTCTGCCCCCATGATTTGGGAATAAAAAGAGAAGCTTCATCATTACCATCACTCAGCCACCCTTTCAAAGCACATTCCCCCTTTTTAATTTGCCCCTTCAAGAAAATCTGGGAAATTTAAAGTATTACTAATTTGTTACATTTGTAGAATTCAGTTCCTGAGTGCCCTATGGGATGTTTGAAAATAGATCTGTAAATCTACAGGATTTAATCTGAAATTCATGTCTACAGAGTCCGATATTCAAAACCACCATGAAACAAGGGTGTTCTGTGCAAGTGCCTGCCTTCATAGTAAAGATCTCAATGCCATTTTCCAACGTTACTGTAATGTTCAGTGTAAACATATAGATTTAAGCTGTCAATGTGGTTACATTTTGGTACACAACTTTTTGTCACAGTCAGAGGTTCAGATATGTTGTACAACACACTTGGATTGTGTAGTTCAAGAATATAAAATCTTCCACACTCCACAGATCAGAAAAAGTGTTACAGAAAGCTTGGTTTTCCAGCCTAACTGTGAAAATAATCTCCATCCAAAAATAAGTAAGGGGCTATCAGTGAAGGAAGTCTGTAAAACAGAAGGGGTAAGCCACATAATAAGTATATTTAAAGTTTTCAACTCTATTAAACTCATTTAAAGAGCTCAAGAGTTTCTCAGAACCTGGACTGCAATCCTCTGACAGGCAGTGTGCTGGGGTTACAGCTCATTCAGACACTAGATGGCATCAAAGCCCTCTTTTGGGAACACCCTTCAAGTTATGACTCCCCAGATCCCCTGCTGCACTGTCCTGGTGTGCACACAGCGCCCAGCACAAGCCCTGGCAGGAGCTGGAGCTGCGGCACTGGTGGCACTGGTCAGCAGCATCTGAACCATGAGGAAACATCTGAATATGCAGTATTTTTATGGAGATCAGGAGAATTAATTTTGAGTCTGGTGAGCATGAGAGTGAAGCAGCAAGATTTCCTGCTAGGAAGCTAAATACAGTATGTCCTGGTACATAGAAGGGAGGAAAAAAACTACCACTGTATCCAAGACAGTAGGAAGCGTTGGTGTTGCAGGAGGGTATTTGCTATTTGAAATTGTTATCAATAGAAACTTCTTATATGCAGAGGGGGGTTCTTTTTATTTAACTACAGTTCTGAGTTTAGTTAGTTTGTTGTTTTTTATTATTTTGTTTTTTTACTTCATGCAGCTATGGAGTACAAGGTCACTGTACTCTGATACCATTACAAAATAGAACCAGTTACTCAAAGGGTCTGCTGGGAGCATTACACAAACCATGTTCTACCCCCAAGGCTGTTCACAGCTTTATTGGAGTGGTGGAGCTTTAAAAAAAAAAAAAAAAAAAAAAAAAAAAATCCAGAACTGTGTTAAGAGTTTGTTAGCTGCCTTGCAGTCTGCAGTCTTCTGGGACTGTTGGAAGTGACACTTTTAGGTACACATAGATATGCTGGCATTTAGGTTAGCTTTCAAAAAATAGCACTGTTAAGTAAGCGTTCAAGAACCCTAAGTGCACCAGTAAGGCAGTTCAGATTAGCGTTCCAACAAGCATCAGTCATAGAATCACATCAACTGATTTCCAGAAGTCTTTAAGTCACAGTAAAATCTATTTCAGTTCCACTGATGGGAAGACAGAAAAACACTCACACAATAAAGGTAGACTCAGAAGGCCAAACACATGCACAGATCCACCTTTTGGCCTTGTGATGAATTACCTCTCCTTTCTGAGAGTATGACAGACAAGTCTGTTAGTTCTTTGAAGCTACTTTAAAATTGTGTTCAAGCAGTGTGGTATTAAAAGCAGACATCTGATTTTGTTCATGGCTTGTCATCAGACTCTTCAGGCAGGTCTCAGAAATCCAGGTTCTGCATTCCACATACAGCAGAAGTGAGCGAAAAAGTAAACAGCAGGATTGTGAGGAAAAAAAAAAAATCCTAGAAAAAGTGGACCATGTTTTTGAGTTTTCACCAACAGAAAGACTGCAGACGATTCCCCAGTTCCCCACACACCCAGCCCAGCCTGTGCTCAGCCCATCTCCGACCCCTCCACAAACATCAGTGCTGGACAGACATGTGCCCTGTCCCAGCACTGTGCCACTACATGGGAGAATGAAGACACCATTCAACTCTCTCTTCTCCTGCTATGGCAAATGGTTTCACCCACAGCTTCTCCAGCAGTTTCACTTGAACAGAAGAGGAGCAGCTGTGTCCTTGTCAGACCCAAAGTAAGACTCTTTCTTCCCAAGGCAGTGATTTGCCACCCCCAGGCTGCTACATCATGCAATAATAAGAGACCTCTACAAAGGCTTCCTGGTTAAAAAGAACTAAGAAGTAAGCTAGCATACCATGTATAATGTTTCTTTTTTTTCCAGATCACTAAACAATTAACCTGTTGACATAAAGTAGAGGACACACAGCAGCTGTTCTCTAGACAGTACTGTATGCTGGAAGCCTGAGCACAAGGAGCCAAGTCTTCACAGAACAGTGTTTTGACCACGCAGGTATCACTGAAATTTCATCACAAGGGAAATGGCAAACACTCCTTTCTGCTTAGCTATATGAGTAGAAGAGGTGGAACAGGACAAATGCCAACTATCATGCAAAGCTGAACATAAAAACTGCATCCTCTACCTTATTTTTACCAACTCTATTTCGATTGTACCAACACTCTGACAGTTTCCTCAATATACACCTGTTATTCCCTTCCTAAATACATTTGATACAGGAGACAATATTAGGAAAGTAGCATTTTAAGAACTGTAGACTGTAGCTACTGGGTAAGGGTAGTACTGATGAGTCAAACCAACATTCAGTTTTCCATTTAGAACAGAGTCATTATACTCTCTGAAGTAGCTGGTTTTACTGGGAATGTGCCTCATGCAGGACTTAAATAGCAGAAGAGTGCCATGATAGCAACAGGCAAAACATTCCTCTAGTCTAAAAGAGGTAGAACTCTAGGAGGCATTCAGTTTAGAGAAAAGAAAACATTACAATAGTCCTATCCATCCTTTAACTTTCTGCTACTTTAACTACACCTAATCTGAAGAAAAATTTACTACACTGAAGTGTAAGTCCCACCTACAAAGAAAAATAGAAATTAACATCACAGTCCAATTTTAATATCAGCTTCTTGATGACCACGTTCCTAGTAACCTGAACACTAAGCTCCCTCATGAGCACTATTTATTTTAAACCCCCAGCATTGACCTAATGCAAGCTGCCAGTCATATGAGCAGAGATGAATGGGGTCTTTTCCAGATTCCAGACACAAGTTGCACATCCTACAACAGCAGGGATACCTTCCTAAGTTTCCAAGTTTGATGTCTGAACTGCACATGTAAAGAAAGTGCCTTTTCAAATCATGTACACACATTAAACACCATCCTTGGCTTACTATCAAGTATTAAGAGCAATTCTGGAAGGCCACCTAATGCCTAGCCTGTAGACAACCACAAAAAAGCTTGCAGTGAGTAGTGACTTGTTTCTGTATCAACAGATCACCAGCAGAAGAACTGAAGGAGAAAACTGGAGTCAGTGAGTCCATCCCTGATAAACAGAAAAAAACCCACTACAACAATCAGAAAAAAGTAAAAGTGGAGGCACTTACATTTTCTGTTACTCTTGGCCTATGTAGAGAAGTTAACAAAAAGGGACTCAAAAAAGAGTCATGACATGCTCAAGTTTAGCTAAAAAGAATTAATGCAGATGAGTGAATTGCAAGAGAGCATACACAAGATTACCTGAAGATTTATTCAGCTTTGCTGAAAATACAGCAGTAGTTTTTTCCTTTTCTTTAACAGAAGCAGCTTCTGGCTCAGCTTTCTTCTCAAAGGCTTCTGGTTTTACTACACTGACTCTCTCTTTTTCAGCAGATAAGGGTGAGGTATCTGTGGCCGGTAAGGACATCATGGATACTTCAGGCACTTCTCTGTCCACAGCCTCCAAGGACTTTTTCAAGACATTAGTATCTTCCTCAGTGTTTACTTCTACATTCTTTAAAGACAGATCACAGGGTAGCTCTGGGCAAGGCAACTGCCTCTTCTCACCTCTGATTGCCTTACTGACCTCTTCACTTTCATATTCGCGTGTTACTTCTCCGACAGTGGCCTCTGCCACAAACTCAGGAGCTGTTTTAGGATGAGCCAACATCACAAAGTCTTCAACTGGGGAAGACTCTGTGGATGAGAGTACTTTGTTGTCTCCTGTTTTTGGTTCCATAGCAACAGATACATCAGCTGAATAAGCCATAGCATTGAGCTCTTCCATCTGAAGAGGAAACTTCTCTGCCTTGGCTATTTTTGTAGGTACTGGCTCAGGTGGAGAGTCCAGTTCAGGTTGGAAAGACTCCAGATAAGGCTTGCCTGTGGCAGCTACTGAATCCATCAGTCGTTCCTCATGTTCATAATCAGTTACAATATTCTCAGTTGGTTTACTTTGTAAGATGAGAGATGGATCTTCGCTCACTTTCTCAGCGAAGTCAGGTATCACCTGGCTATTAAACAAGTCAGATTTTCCGAACTGTGGAGACAGTTTTTCAGCAAGTTCTTTGTGTTCAGGCACATCCTGAGAAACACGTTCTGTTATCGATGTCTTTGAATAATCTGTAAAGGATGGAGAAGCAGGTTCACCAGAGACCTTTGTTTCCTTAATTAAGTCACATGCAATAGATATATATGGAGCCTCTACATCTTCAGGACTGGAGCTACTCTCATGCTCAGGTTTTTTAAATGCTAATGCCTCTTTTCCTTCTTGGGCCTGTGTCAGTGGTACCTTGACTGCCTCTTGGTACAAGGGAGGTTCTTCAGGCTCTTCTTCTACATTCTCATAATTAGCAGTAGGAATAAATGTTTCTAATGGCGAAGCTTCGAGCTGCACAGCAGATGCTTCCACACCAGCAGTCCCAGTGCTCAGTGGGGCTTCCATAACAATATCTGGCAATATTGGTGATGGAGCAGCTTCTGACTCTTCAAATGAGGGACAGAGTTGTGTCACGGGTTTCAGAGTCTCTTGTACCGACTCGGAGGTTTGAACTAAATCAATCTTTGTTTCATAAGCAAGTTTTGTACATGCTGCATCATGCATTTCACTTTCATATGCTTCTTGTACTAGATCAGGAGTAAGACCTTCAGGCATATTTGATGCAGTGTCAGATGGCACTGTTGATACACTCTCTGGTTTAGCATAGTCAGCTTCCTGGCCTTCCTGCTTGCCAACTGCTCGAGTGCTAAAATCACCTTGTTCAGTGCTCATCTGAGCTTTCATTTCTGCTATTTTTTTCTCGTCATCGGTTCTATTTTCTGAAGTGCCTTCCTCTAGCGGAGAAAGAGATTTGACTTTGTTACCATCAGGACCTAGGGAGGATTCAAATTTAGTACAAGTGATGTAAGTCTGTGAAGGGTCTTTTACAGCTTCTGGGGTACTTGGGAAAGAGCGATCTTCGGTGCTGCCTTCACTCTCTCTCTCGTAATCCTTCTGCACATCCAGCTTACCTACACCACACTTCTCATCTAAACTGCCTTCTAGCTTGCCATCTGTCTTACTTCCAACAGTGCTCAGTCTCTGACTGGCACCTTTTATTTCCCATATTGGCTCAAATGGTTTGAAGTCTGCATATTCTTCCCTCCTGAAAGGGTCTTCTTTCAGTGCCTCTTTTTCATCATAATCACCACCTCTGTATTTGTCTTTGTTGTAGAAGAGGTCTTCCTCATTATTCTCAAACAAATCTTGAGGAGTTTCTGGAGACATTTTCAGCTGCTGTGCAGGCATTTTCTCCAGATTAGGTAATTCTTTAGGGCCCTCTAGCTGTGTTTCTTCTTTAGCTTTAGATAAAATGGCTGCTTCTGCTTTAGCAAATGGGGGTTCTGAGCATTTAATCTCTGAAATGTCTTTTTCATTTCCTTCTGCAAGAAATGGGTTTCTTGCATTTTCCAGAGTTCCTTTATAAACTTCCCTTGCATTTTCTTTGTAAATGCCTCTTGCAGATAATCCATCTGAGAGCGTATCAAAGGCTGCGTGCTCTTTAAAGGGATCAGCTGAGATAGGAGAGAAGGAGGGAAGAGAAGGAGCAGTATCAAGCGGGACTGCAGTAAAATCCTCTTGACCAAGCGACTTAGTGTTACCTGGCTGCTCCTGCAAGTCCGTAACTTCTTCTGTGACCGTGGACAGAAAGGAAAGTTAGAGAATGCAAGTGCTCTTACAGTCAATGCAAACTTTCAAGACAGGTTCACATCATGTTAGTTATTAAGAGGTTCTTCCAAGTTCTATCACAAATACTATTAGCCATTAAAACAAAGTATCAGTTATAGTATGCTATTCTATTTCACCTCTTCTAGCACAGAAGTAATGCAAGAGGCTAGAGAAGCAGCAACTTTATGCAGCGCAAGATCACAGTAAAGCTGAAGATGCCAGACAAGTACAGCAGGCAATATTAACAAAGGGAGAGAGGGAGGGTGGGGAGGAGGCAAGGGGAGAAGACAGAGAGAGGGTACGTGTGTGTGCTTGTGCACAAACATAGGCACAAACGTGCATGCCAGTAAGAAGTCCTTTTTTTTGACACTTTAAATGGGGATTTGGTGGATGGCATAGCTAACAAAAAACACTACATAAATACTAGAGATACAAATTTTACTTATATAGACAATACTGCAGAAAGTTACTATGGATTAAATCTTTCTGCTAAACCAGTAAAGCAACTATGCTTTGATGTGTTAACCTGTTAATAGTATCATCTGCTCTCCTACATCAAGGGTCCAAGAATTCACAGATGGCTGTAGCTTGTTTATAAAACAGCTTTGCACATTAAAAAAATTAAATGAATTGTTATTAAAAACTTTAACAGATCAACTGAAAAATGTGATAGAGGCTATTCTTGGACCCATGCTGACTTTTAGTAAAGGCAGACTAATTGGAAAGAGTTAATGAAATCAGAAATGCAGGACGTATTCAGACAAAGGTGAGCAGAAAGAACTTGCCTGCAGAGGAGTGCATCAGAGGCGCAGATGTAGCAGGAAGAGCAAAAAGGGTCTCATCTGAAAAACAAACAAACAGCCTCAGCAGAAATAAAGGCTAGGTTGAAGAGGGGAGAAAGCACTCAAGTAGTCAACTCCCAGTAAATCAAAACAGCTCCAGAGCAAACAGGTACACCCACCGAGAACCACAGAACTAGACACAAGCTGGGTCATTTGGGAGAGGTCATACTCAGAATTCTCCGTTTACAGCAGGATCTTTACTGAGGCAGCTGAGGGATCTCCACCCTCCAAGCCAGGGACCACCTTAGGATAAAGATACACAAAAGTAGCTACTCTCTATTTTCATTCTCCAAACTTCTACACTACCCAGAAGCTACAGTGTCTCTCACACAAGAAAAAACACCTGCCACTGGCTCCGACACACTGTCTTCAGCCAGCTCCTTTTGCCAGAGGGTGTCCTAACTCCAACTAATTTGTGCGAGAAGAGTAGCGATAACGAGACTCAACCAAAAACTCTGAAGGGTTAAAATTACTAGGGAAGCTTTGAAACTCCCCACAAACAAGAGTGCTTACCAGGCATGCTGATACTGATCAAAATGAGAACAGTCATTTCTAGTCTACTCTTTATGTCTAACTATTTTTGTTAAAATGTAGACAAGACTCCAAATTAAGGCATAACTTTTAAACCCTTCTTTGGCATTATCCAAGGAGCATATTTTGCTTCGATGAATTTGTTTTAACATTTCACAACACAATCCCAGCTCTCCAATTTCCCTTCAAAGGACTAAGTAAATACAAGGAAGGACACCCTTCTCCAAAGCTGAGGAAGTCACCCTCCTTCACTTAATGCACCTCAGTGAGATGCTGGACAATCCCAGAGCTTCGCATTTGTGTATTATCTGAAATACAAGCATACAACTATGACATTTCATTAAGCTACATGAAAGCATTTAACAAAATAAACAGTCTAGAAGCAGCAATACCAGGCAAACTGAAATCGGTCCTCCTCTGGATTTCTGTGTCAACAGCAGTTATTTTTCCTCATGTCCATTGTGGCCTGTTGCCTTTGTGTTAGTATAAAACCAGTAACTTTTAGGTAAATGCATTTTATTCTGAAGACTACACAGTTTTCAAATTAAGGCTGTGAAAGAATATTTGCCATTTACATCAAATGCATCAGCAGAGTGTGAAGTTAATTTCAATTAGATTTTGAATTTCCAGTACAGACATCAACAATCTTTAGTTTTGCTATTTGTCTGGACAAAATCAAGCAGTTAAAAAGAACTTATCTTTTTTTTCCAATTAAAAAAAAAATAAAAATAGAAGCTATGGATTTTAAAAGATGAAAGACAAAAAGTGAGAAATATGGTAGACTCAGCAGCACATACATAATAATCCAGTAAAGCAAGGCATTAAGGTAATTTTTGTCCTGGCATTGAACCAGGACTGTTTGCAAAAGCAATGCCATTTCAAGATACTCATGACTTGTCAGGATTACTCTGGATTAACTTAAAAGTAATCCCATCAGCAGTCTGCCAAATATCAAATCTCCTCACAACATACATATCCTATCACAACATACAGTTGGGTTGGTTTTGTTTCACTGACCAATGTTATCTTCAAGCAACATCTATAATTCACAAAACATAGCAAGATATTAAAAACAGTAATAAAGTTGAGGAGTGTAGGATTCTGTATTCAGAAGCTTCCTCAACTCCTGCTGGGCCAAAGGGATTTCTGTTCAGTTTTCTAGAAATTACATTTTCCTATTAAGGACCACCAGAAACCTCAATTCCAAATTTAGAAGCCATCAAAACAGTGTTACAGCTCAGTTGTGGCAAAAGCTTTTTAAGGACAAAAACCACAGTGGAGGACAACTCATCAATACGTGACGTTAAGACACAGAACTGCAACGCTCGTCCGTACACCAGGTATCACCACATGCCCTTTATTTCAGAAGATGCTTGACTCCAGTTGCCCTGGCTCACCAGAATCTCTGCAGGCAGACTGTTCCCAAGGGGCCCACCAACCCAGGAGACAAGTGAGCAAGTCACATCCTTTGGAGAGTGAAACAAGATATTTCAGTGAGAGCTCAGCTTGGGACTCATCAGTGCAACAGCTGCTCTATCTTGCTCAAAATGAGGTTTTTAGCAATAACATCAGAGGTTTTTCTTCAGTTTCTAGTGTGCCTGGTACTTGAGGGTACTGCTGACCTTTAGATTTCAGGTCAGCAAGCCTCAGGGTTTGCACAACGAAGCAGCACACTTCCCTTTTCTCTCATGCTTATACTGGGACCAAGCAAGCAACATCTCTTGACCGTAACTGTAGGACTGTGTCCCTCTATGTGTGTACCGGATGCTGATCCTACTGAAAAACCTAATCACTTGTTGGTTGTAATAGGGAAGACTCAGCATGAAGGCAAGAGACCCCACACAGCCTGACAGAAAAGGATCCCATCAGAGGGAAACCGCGAACAAGTCAGCGGAGTCAGGATGAAATAAAAGACAATCAGAGAAAGAAGACAGAGTCCACTGGGTTAAGGAGGCAAAGAGGCAAATGCACAACAAGCCCCTGAAGGTGCAGTACATTTAGCATCCAGAAACAAACAGCAATCTCTACCAAAAATTCCAGATTTAAAATCTCTTTATTAATACTTCCCAATCCCAGAAAGAGTTGCAGTTTCTGGTGACGAACACTGGTTTTAGGAGCACGAGCACTGATTTTTCAGTGCTCCATTAAGACAGCACAATCCAGAAAACTCCTTCTCAGTTCTGGCTTCCATTTACTCAGCACAGGAGCACACAACAGTCACTGAGCCAGTCACTGAGCTCCCAGGTTCTCTTAATGGAAAGATATTATGCCCACACCCAAACTTTATTTTCCACACATATCTGGACCGTGAAGTGATTACATAAAAGCAGTGTTTCCTAACCAGCCAAGGAGAACCACCCACTTTCCCTCCACCCACATCAGAATGGCATTTTTCCTGCTGAAATGATGATACAAGGGCTTTTTCCTGCTGCAGGCCCTGTAAAACACCTCCAGGCAAGCAGGGAGAACAGAGTAGGACCTCTGCAACTCCCACATCAGCATGAACCAACCATTCTCTTCACACCGTAACTCAAAGGACACGGTAAAAGCAATAGTGTTTTGTTCCAGCAATGACGTTTGCACTGAGGAATCCTGACCTCCAACGCTGGAAGTAGAAACCTTTCAGACACAGAACTCTATGGGTGCTTTGGTAGACAAAAGAATGTTGCATCTATCAGACTGTAGCCTGGCATACAGCAAGACTGCCCAGGGTCAAAGACAAGGAGCCCACAAGCCACTTCAGCCAACACTTGCAGAGCGCTCCAGAGAACGAGCCGCTTCTTCCCACCCATTGCTCAAGTGGTAGCTCTGGGTAACAGCTGACAACAGATGTAGTAAGTTTCGCAATAAAGTACTACCTTTAGCAGAGTAACCTCATTTGTAAAAGAAGTGAAAGGACAACAGATCACTGAGGGAGGCTTTTCTGATTTGCATATCAACGACAATAATTAAGTGATTGAACAAAGCAGTAGCACACTAGTACTAGAATCAAGAAAAAAAAATTTCAGACTGTATTAAGCTCTAAACAAGATTATTTTCAAGTGAAGGTGCATATTCAAAACTCTTTTCCTGACCTATGAAAGGGGCATTTGCTACAGCAAATCTTCACACAAAGATACAACAAAGCATCTAAGCAATCTTCAGGTTTTACAAATCATAAGAAAACCCTAATTCAGTAAGAGAAATGCTCAGTTACTGTTTCCACCAGAAGACAGATTTTTGTTTCATGAAATACAGAAGAATGACACCTCAGAATTAACACTAAACCTCCAGGTGAAAACAGTTTTTACTCCAAATTTTATCTGTCAAAAATCCGTTAACAGTGCAGGTCAGTAACCTAACTTCAGCATGACAGCTAAGAGAGACAGACCCCCTATTTGTGAATGGTGTTTCTTTATATTAGTGACTGAAATAGTCCAGCTGATGTGTTTAAAGAGCTCTGTGAAGAGAACTCAACCTTGCCCAGGTGATCTTACAACATTCAGAAAAATACTAACATGGTATTAAAACACACACACCCACACATCACCAAACCGGTGAATGCTGACTAGCACACACCAATGTTTTTGGGGTTTTTTTTAACTATCCACGTATATTAACATGTCTCCCTAATGTGACAGGAAAAGCAATTAACTAAGTGATGCACTGATTGCATCCCTATTTTTAACCAAAAATACTTTGCAAACTTTACCTTGGCTTTTTGCAAATGAAAGATGCCCCCCCCAAAAAACAATAAACCACCAACAAGCAACCCTATAGCTTCTCTCATACTTTAAAACTTTCCCTTATGGTTTCAACTAAAACATGAGCTCCAGCAAGAAACATATTTGTTTGAACTAAAAACCTGACACCAGCATGACAAAGAGGTATCATTTTAAACTCTTCAATTTTTTCTGATTGACTACCAACTACTGTTATGAGATACTGTTATTACCAGCATAAAAATTAAATATCAAAGTTTTCAGACAAAAGGCAGAGATATTAACTGAGAGAGCTTTCCCAGACAGCTAAGAAAGAGAAAGTTTGCTGCAAAGATTTTCAGAGAAAAACAAAAGAATATTTACAATGAAAAAAGTAGTAAACTGACAATTCCAAGAAAAGCCATTTATGAGAAAACTGCCTTTTTTTTCCCCAGAACATACTTAGCAAAAGAAAGCACAGACTTAAGTCTAGTCACAAAAAATAAGACCACAGCAAGAACGTGCTCTGTCCCTCGTTTGCTGGGTTTTTGGTAACTGATACACCCTTTCATCTGCTCTCATGTGACTCCCTCCAAGCACCAGCAGCAGGCCTGTTTATTGTTCTGATACTCTCCTGTATTTTTATGGATGAGCTCAGCATGGGAAAACAAAACAAGCAAAAAAAACCCTAAGTATTTTATTTTCTACATACAACCACTGACTAAATTCCATCCTGATGCAGTTTAACTTTGGTAGGAGAGTGTACTAGGCTGCTACATGGCAGTTTCA